GCCGGTAGAGGACGCGGTGGAGGAAAGGTTGCCCATGAAGCGCGGTTGAGGACTGGAAAGAGACGTTACCGAGAGAACGTTCCTGCAGATGAGATGCGTGAGGGAACGTACCTTTGCGGGTCTCAGAAAGAACGGGGCATATCTACCTAAGCAGGGGTTCTAAAGCAGCATCGGCCAATCAGACAGCTCGAGAGATGCCAATGACAGGAGGGGCCTGGGCGAGGGCGGACCGGGGGTTCTGACGTGGGAGACGTATCACAATGGTTTCGGTCAACGGCCCGTTCGTGACCCGGGTTGGTCTCTTGCTCTTGGCTGGGGGTCACGATGCAACAAAGTTGGTTCGGCTACATTGCCAAACAGTGGCGAGCACTCCTCCCCCAAGGCCTCTCCAGGTGTCCTTCCTGCAAGTCCCCCCCGCCTGGTCCCTCCTGGACACTTCTGGGGCATGCAAGCCTGCAGGAGACGATGGACCCTTGCCTGCAAAATAAAGGTCGTCGGGAAAAAAGAAGCGCAAAAACAAGCTCGGCAGGGGTCGTATCTGCGAGTAGAAACGGGCTTCATCCCAATAGAGGCCTCTCATTTTCTCACACAACAACGTCCTCAGCGACCGCCCTCCCCTGTCGCTATCCCATCTTTTTCCACCCCTGATTCCATCTTGTTCGCTTTGCCCCTCTCTTTTCCACCCATCCCGTGCTTCTGATTGGTGCCTTGTCCGAGCGACCTTCTGCCGATTCGTCGAGCTTGTTTGAACCGCAGCGGAAACGAAACAGGCACACACAGCCAAGAGGCCTGCTTACTTACTTAGTACTCCATTGCACCTACGACCCTCCCCTCCTGCCTCCCACTGTCCGGATTCACTGCGAATTCCGTGCTTGGCGTCGCCCGCCTGGCTCTCGGAAGAAGGAAGGGAAGGGGGAGGAGGCAGTAAGAGGCTTGCTGCCATCTGAACTTTCAACCTTGAATATCTCACCATGCACCCCCCCTTGACGACATTGGCCAGGGGCCCCGTCTGCCTCCCACTCCCACTCTCACTCCCACGCCTCTCCTCTTCAGTGCTTCACTGTCTCGTCCGCTAGATCCCCCCTTCCCCTACACGCGCACATACTCCCATACCCCAGGCAAACACTACACTACACGCTTTCCCAGTACGGATACCAAGACCAAAGCCCGCCTCAGTTGCCCAGCGGCAACTCATCACCACCCAGGAGCAGCCTCCTGCTTCCTGCAAGGTACCATGTACCCCGTCAACCGTACCCCTGTCCAGTCCCACGTCTGAAGCTTCGCGGTCGAGCGTATCTTGCTACCCGCATAGTGGGCTCCCGTGTGAACCGACGACGGAAAGAAAGCTAGCCGCAGACAGTCCCCAGCAAGGACCCAAGTCGATCCGACCCCCTCCCGAGTGCCTGATGGCGAGAATGGGCCATGCGCCGCCTGCGAGAGACGCCATGGGTGATGGGGGTGGCTATCCATCGATGAGCTCGTGAACTTTCTTTAACTACTTTGTTTCCCTCGTTTGCTTCTCCTACCCCTCTCTTCTTTTCCTCCTCATCCCGTTCACTGTGTGTCTTCTTCCAATCTCCAAAAGCGCTGGTCTGCTTTCCTGGGTCCACCGGTTTTGCTTACACCCTCCTTTCCCTTCGAGACCTCTTACTACGAACTGTCACTCCCTCGGACGACATTTAATTATTCTTGTAATCTTTCTCTTCTCTGACATCAACAACAATCGACCGTCCCAGGTGGCACCGATCGACATACTTTTACTACCGCTCGATATCACTGTCCCCGGAGAACAGGCCGACCGAAAGGAAATTTAGGAAGGAAAAGTAAAGCTGCAAGAACCACACCACACATAATCAACATGCCTTCAATGAAGACCGCCCTCGTCGCCGCCCTGGCCGCCGTGGCCACCGCCGTGCCCCTCGGCCCCAAGTTGAACAAGGACCAGATGAAGATCTACGACTTGGCCAAGAGACAACAGGCCGGTGCCGGCGCTGCTGGATTGACGGACATCGACATTCTGCAATTGTGAGTAGGGATTTGGTGGATGCCGGGACATGCAAGCGCGGAACAATGGGACATGACAACTAACACTGGTTTCACAGCGCTCTTACCTTGGAATGGCTCGAGGGTACTTTCTACCAGCAAGGCTTCCAGAAGTTCCCCGCACAGGACTTCATGGCTCTGGGTCTCTCGATGGAGCAGGTTAACGACCTTCAACAAGTCGGCGCTACCGAACTGTCGCACGTCTCTCTCCTGCAGTCTGCGATTGCCCAGGCCGGCACTCAGCCCGTCCAGCCCTGCCAGTACAACTTCGGCTTCACCGACGCCGCCGGCATGGTCAAGACCGCCGCCGTCCTCGAGAACGTCGGTGTCTCTGCCTACCTGGGAGCCGCTCCCCTCGTCAAGGACAAGGCTATCCTCGGTACCGCCGGCTCTATCCTCACCATCGAGGCTCGCCACCAGACCTTCATCCGCGCCGCCTCCAAGCAGATCGCCATCCCCCAGGCCTTCGATGCTCCCCTCGGCGTTCGTGCTGTCTTCTCCCTGGCCGCGCCCTTCATCACCTCCTGCCCTCAGGGTTCCAACTTGGCCCTCCAGCCCTTCCCCAAGTTGACGATGACCGCCCCTGCTCAGCCCAGCGCTGTTGCCATCGGCGCCCCCATCATGCTCCAGGCCGACAGCGCCACCCAGGCCAAGGCTTGCGCCTTCACCACTGGTGGCCTCCAGCCCGGCGGCACCACCTTCAGCCCCTTCACTCCTCAGCAAGGTTGCGTCGTTCCTCAGGGTCTCAGCGGCATCACCTACGTCTCCCTCACGAACCAGTCCCCGATGAGCGGCGTGCTCAGCGATGACATCACCGTGGCTGGTCCTATGGTGCTTACCATCTCGTAAGCGCGTTCCGCAAGTTGGGGTCTGGTCTTGTGGCCCAGTAGGTGGGCTCGAAAAGGACGTGACGGGTGCGTGTTGATTAATCCCGAAGGTCACGAAAAAAAAGCAAAGAAAGGGGAGGAAAGAGCGCATGATACCTTCGCTTTACGACACGAAATTTGGGGTTAGTCAAGCAGAAGCAGCCAGTTTTCGATCAATGTCGACCTCCGTTTCTTTTTCTTTCTGACTCTTCACTCTCTCAAACTCCTCCCCTATCCGACCGACAAAAACATTTTTTCACTTCTCTGGCTAGATAGATGGCCTGTATATATGATGTCATATTATATATATTCCCGACGGGGTTTCAGGAGTCGAGTCGAAGACTTTTTTATGTATTGTTTAACTGGTAACCCATTTTCTTTCTCTTCTCTCATCAAACGTTTCTTTGTCACCTTTTCTATGTCTGCATCATGCCTGAGAGCATGCGAATCGATGGGGAGGAAATGATTGGGTTGGGGCCTGAAAAATCGTGCTGGAAAGCGAGGAGTATGATACCACCAAAGACAGAGAAACACAACCATTTCTTCTTGCTTCTCTTGACCCGCTGAAATAAAGCACGATTTTGAAAAGTCACCATGTTCATCACATATAGCTACTACCCTCACCCTGACAAGCAATCGAGAGACGGGAGGAAGAGTTTGAGTGCCGGGGGAGCAAAACACGACTTGAGAAGCCTGCTCAAATTGAAAAAATAGCTATCTTTACTTTTGCACACGAAAATCTTCTTTTAGCAAGCTGGTGCGATGTTATTTTGGTGCGGTGAGATTGTAAGTTCCTTGACAGCTGTGACGACTTGGCGTCCATGGCGATCAGACACGACGTAAAGATAGAGTCGAGAAGTAAAGATAGAGAACGTGGGGGTTCTGGGTCTGGGGTGAGAGGAATGGGAGGGTAGCAGCAGCGCGGCTCTCCGAGTTCTGAGCTCGGTGCAAGTTCGGTGGTCGAGCAGGTCGGAGGGGGCCTTTGCTGGGTCCCTGCTTCTGGGGCGTTGTGGTTTCGGGAGGCTCTTTGGCCGGGTGATTAATGCTGACTTGGCGTGCCCGAGGTCTTTTGTCAGAACGTGTCCCGTCATATGTCGTGGGGCTCGGGTCGGCTGGGTAGTGAATGTCCCGGGCCAGGGGATATGGGCGGGTTTGAAGGAGGAATTGGAGGACGCGGCCGACGCCCCAATCCATGGTTCGTTATTCTTTGACGGCCGGCTTTATTCTGGTCCCGGAGATGCTGGTGGTTAGGGGCGGCATGTAAGCGACGGCTTGGTGTGCGATGCCTCGGAGACGTCTGTCGGGACAAGACGCCGATAGATCGATCAGTTTGAGGCTTGACGCCTTGGCATGAAGCCGGATGTAGAGAGGTCATCGTTCCGAGATACGGATACGCTGGCACGCATGGCAGTCGAAGGCTTGGTAAATTCAACGTTAGAGATCAAAAGTCCGGTCTAAGCTGATCGCATTGCATCCCTTCGCGGTCGTTTCCGCAGATTCAATGGCACGATAAATTGCATCTCCCTCCGTACGACACGAGCCATGATCATTCAAGAGTTTGCGAAGCGTTCCGGCTTTTCTTTAGAATATATTCCAGTGCCACTCATCCCTCAACACCCAGGCGCTCACGTAATATCACGCTGAGCGTGGACTATGGACGCCAGTGCCATCCACAGGGTGGCGATTTAATCACTTCCTTCTGCCGTTTGAACGTTTAGCCATTCGTGGTATAATCTGTTATCTGCAGCGATCAACTATGAATATTCACTGTCAATACAATCAGTCAGTCGTCCGCGGCTCTAGGCCGCTACAGGTCTCAAGGCGCTGGCACTATATCATATCACTGTCTCGTTATCCTATGTGCTTATGTCAGTGATACCTATCGTCTAAGACGCTTCTAACATCTTATAACATCCCAACCCACTACTTAAGGACCATCCCGCTCGTTTGGAGCTATGCCGCTAGTCCCAGCAATGAAAACACTATAAAAAAGATCACAAAGGGCAAAAAACTGGACGAACAGGGAATCGAACCCTGGACCACTCACATGCTAAGCGAGTATTATACCACTAAACCATTCGCCCAGTGGGATGATTTCGCCCGGACTTGAACCGGAGACCTTCAGTGAACCAGGCGAGACTCGAACCTCGAACTGTTAGACTGACGTGATAACCAACTACACCACGAAACCATGTTGTTTGATGACTCATCCTGAACGGAAGGAATATGTGAAGCCTGGTGCGTGTGTGTGGGGTAGCGGGTGAGGGCATCGTGGAGCCGGTTGTGGGGGCGGAGTGGAGACTTGGAATGAATGCTGCATTAGATTGGCTTTGGTCCAAGGTGGTCATTCCCTCGACTCTCCCGCTCACGAGAGAGCTCAGGCTGGCTTAATTGCGCGAAATCCGCAAGTCTATGTCGACGGGTGATTTGCAAGAATTCGATCAAAGCCGTGGTGGCGTTGTCAAGTTGAAAAATACCATTCTTCTCTTTTGTTAGCGCCAAAGTACCGAAGTGGGGCCATTCGGGGCCGTGAAGGCCGTCCGGTGGTCGCTGCCCGGGGCAGCTTCGGGGAAATATGCCTGGTTTCCTGCAGCGACCCTTCCGAATACTGCGTTTTTGGCATTCAATTCGTGGAGTGCCACCACGTTTGTCAGTCCAAGAAATCCCGTGGTTGACAGATAATGCGGGCACCCGGCCTTCTCGCCGGCCGCGGCACTGCAGCAGGAGTGCGCCTACCTCAACGGATCAGTTCTCCGCACATGAATTACCTCGTCACACATCGGCCGTGATTCGAACCAACAATATCTCCGTCCACTTCATCGACATGGCTGGCACCAACTGCATGTAAACCAACCTACCTTCCAAACCGAGGTCCAATGTCTGACCACTGTCATCAATTATTAAGACGGCAATCTGCTCTGAGGTGTATAGCTTTGCGGGCGGAAGCGTGTGATACATGACGACATGCATTTCATGCAAGTGTATTTCGGCGTCTCGCGACAGATTCCGGACTCTTTCGAATCTCCCGCTTGTGATGTGCGACATAACGGGAGAGAAGAAGTCTAACGGGCGCCGGCAGCCATCCGATCTTTCGCTCAATCTAATTGCATCTGCCGTGACCCCGAACCCCGCGACTGGTGAGGGGCTAGCGCGGGGATGTGTAGTGGCGGTTCGGCCGGTCGCGTGGTGACGTCTGCGGGGTCGAGGTTTGCCGGAGAGGACTGGAGTAAAATGGAGACAACACTTGGGACGGAACAGTCCCCCGGCTTGTCGTGGGAGCAAACAAGTACCGTTGCATCGACGGATCATGGCCGGCATGCTCTCCCCGGCAATTCGCCCTCCACTGCGGGGTCGAGTTGCTGTCCCTCACGTTGTCTTCTCTTTGAAGACTTATCTTTCTGACAGGTTCGCCCCATCATGCGTGTTAGTTTAAACCTACATCAACTAGATCCTCAACGAGACGCCTTCCGCTAGTTGAGATGAGTCGTCCATTTCAAAAGGTATGCCCCCGTTGGCTTCTGCTCCAGTAATTCTCTAAAGCTATTCAGGTCGTGATCGTGGGGGCCGGGCCTTCGGGCTTGCTTCTAGCGCTGCTACTTTCGAAGAAGGGAATTCCCGTTCAGATGCTCGAAGCTCAGGATCATCTCGACCAGCAACCACGAGCCGCCCACTACGGCCCAGCCGCCATCCCGGACCTGAAGCGCGCAGGCATCTTGGACGAGGTCCGTCGTCGGGGGCCGACGGTGAGCACGTTCGTCTGGCGGCGTCTCGAGGACCACAGTGTCATCGCCGGCTTCGACGCAGGCGTTCTTTCCGACATCAACGGCGACGACCTGCGCACAGCATGTCTGGTTCTTCAGGATCTCGATCAGCTGATGCTGGACGAGTTTCTGGGGAAACACAACGGAACCATCAGCTGGGAGCATCGTGTGGTCGGCTTGGGCCAAGATGACGAACGAGCCTGGGTGGATGTTGAAACACCACAGGGGAAGAAGAAAATCGAAGCAGACTACATCGTCGGGTGCGACGGGGCCAACAGCGCAGTTCGAAAGGGGCTGTTTGGGGAGGAATATCCCGGCTGGACGTGGGACGCCCAGATCGTCGCGACGAACACGTACTACCCCTTCGAGAAGAAGTTCGGCTGGGACGATGCCAACTTCATCATCCACCCGGAACACTTCTTCATGGCGGCGAAGATCACAAATGACGGCATGTACCGCGTGACGTACGGCGAGGAGTCCAACCTCTCGCACGAAGAGCTCAGAGCACGCCAGGAGAAGAAGTTCAAGATCATGCTGCCTGGACGCCCTGACCCGGGAGAGTACGAGGTCGTCAACTTCGCCCCTTACCGCATGCACCAGCGGTGCGCGCCGAAGTTCCGCGTGGGCAGGTTCATGCTGGCTGCCGACGCCGCGCACTTGTGCAACCCTTGGGGCGGACTCGGGATCACCGGCGGGTTTGTGGATGTTGGCGGGTTGTATGACTGTCTTGCGGGCATATGGGACGGGGTAGCGGATGAAAGCATTCTGGATCTATACAGCGAGAAGAGGATTGAGAAGTGGAAGACGATCATTGATCCGATTTCGCAGGAGAACTTCAGAAGGGTGTCGGACAAGGACCCCGGTACCAGGGTAAAGAGAGATGGGTTCATGCAAATGTGTCAGCGAGCTGCAAAAGATGAGAACCACATGCGGGAGTTGATGCTGGGGAGCTTGGCTGTGAGATATGATTTCACGCAGCATTACAACAAAGTAGACGGCTAAGGGGCGAATCGTGCTTGATCGAGTTGGGTTTTGGTGTAGAGTAGCGCCTGTTAGTGAGGGCCAATTCAGTTCACCGATGACATCTCATTGATTTTGAGCCATGAGATCACCACCAAGAACCCCTAACAAGGAATCCTTGCTCATCCACATCGCCGGATGAGTGTCGGCTGGACCTTTGCATGGCTTCCATGTCAAAAACATGCGGAAGAGACTAAATGAAAGAGCAGGAGGTAAACATTCCGCTCAGTGCCGTTTGTGGGAAGAAAGGCTTACCCAGACCTGAGAATCGAAAGTATGTAGCGACTTGCTCACTTGAGATGGTCATGAAAAAGGATGTTTGGAGTAATGGCTAGGTGGAAATCAGTCCAATGCCCGGGCTTAAGACAGCTTGAACCAGAGATCTACGAATATGAGAGACCAGAAATACAGCAAAGCGCTGGATTCTTACCATTCAAGTGTTTGAGCAGTTGCTCTTCAGAACAGGGCAAAATGGCATGACAAATGAATCTGAAGTGAGTTGAACGAGAGAAACAAGTGCACTTTGACTCGGCGGCCCTCGAACGACATTTCTCATAAACTTCACAGAATGGATGAGAAAGTTGTATAACTGTGTGGCGACACAACCGTATTGTAGCCGCGGCTTTTCTGTCAACGGCCATGCCGCGGGTGCCGAAACTTGCATTTCTTTGTTCTGGCATGGGAACCGAGAACCGGGGGTTTCCAGACTCATGCTCTACCTCATGATTCGACAGAACCACCCATGGTGTTGGCCTGGGACCGCCACTGGTTTGATACGCTCTTCTGCACTCCTGCGGCGCATGCGTGGTATCGTTCCGGCGCAGCAGGCTCTGCCTTGATTCATAATTCTTCGTGGAGCTTGCAACATTCCGTCCGATGAGTTATACAATGAATGAGCGTCGAGATGTCTCCCATACGACAGCGGAAGACAATGAATTATGAATGAATGTTGAAAGGAAGATCAATAATTGTGAAGTGGTTCTGAGTCTAAATTAAGGTGTAGTGGAGCCTCGAGAAGACCCGCCGATTATCCACATTTCGGAGAATGATCCAATGAGGGCTCTACTCCCGGCGGCTAATCCTAACGGCCCCAGCATCGTCTGTTGACGAAGCTCTCCCATTGAGCCAACTTCTTCTCATTCACATCTGCCCCCAAATTGTCACAATGCAATGCGACGTCCAATGAGCCAAGCCAGGAAGCTGAATTGAAGATCGCATGTTCGTGTCTGAGATTGACGACTGAATTGCTGAAGAAGATCGTGGCGATGTATTCTGCAGACGGCGCAGTTGTTGTTGGTCCGGTCCCCACCCGGGCCGCCCCCTCGATCATCGTCTGCGGGCGCTTAGCCAACACCTCTCATTCCTCGACGCCCCTACCAGCGGGCCCACGTCACTTCTGGACCAATGCAGGAACCCTAGATCAAGTAACCTTATGTTGGCGCGAGGTGTTATCCGGCTACGGAAGTGGCATAGTCGAGAGGAGAAATCATGCGAACTGGCAAGTAGCCGCGCTGAACAATGCTGTTGGAACCGGGGTCAACCTCCTGGTTCGTTTCGACGTCCCAAAATCTCGGATTCATTCATTTCTCCTTAAGTCGCCCGTTCTGCCAGATGAGTAGGTCTGGCCAGCTCGGTCTTCTCCCCTTTCCTCGTCTTCTTGTTGTCCCATTTCCTATGTCGGTTGTGGCTGGCTACCACGAGGTCTTGTTCTAGTTGAACTACGGGCTAGTCTGCTTCGTTTTCTTCACTTGAAGTGTTGGATGACATTTCTTTCATCTTTCACGGCGTCACATATTTGCGCTCTGCGCCGTCGAGCCAATGGGACAGAAAGCACCCGAAGTTAGGGAAACTCGGGTCCTCTCCCACGATGTTTCCCCCGAGAAGCGAAGCCGGAAGGACTCAATACCATGGCTAAGAAAGCATAAGGACACTCAGTGCAGCCTCGAAACAGGTCAATCTCATCATACCAACAAAGGTGTCGTGGTTCACCGCAGCTGATCATTCCGACAGTCCATAAACACGGCTGGAAGCCCATGACAATTGGTGCACCAGTCCTGTTCTCGTTCGCATTTGTTTCCTTCATTCTCGCTGTCATCATTGAGATCCTCGCTCAACAAAGCCAAAGGGCTGGCGGCCTTGCACTTTCGCCATCGACCAACGAGATACCGACGTTTGCCAAGTTCTGCTACCTGTTCCTTCCTACGATTGTCGCCGTCATTTATAGTCTTCTATGGAGTTGGATCGACTTGGATGTCAAGCGCCTGCAGCCATGGCTGGAAATGTCAAGGCCAGAAGGCGCAATAGCGGAACACTCAATCTTTCTTGATTATCCATATGAGTTCGTCGCGTTCGTGCCCTTCAAGGCGGCTCGAAGGCGGTAAGAACATTGTCTCAGCCCTGTCCTAGGCTTCGTGGGGAACTGTGCTGATCAAATATAGACACTGGGCGACATTTTACGCTGCGACTATCATGGTAATCATCTTTTGGCTGCTCACTCCTCTTCAGAGTGCCATATTGGGCACTGGACCAGTGAGGGTCGAAAGGGCAGCTCAAGTCTTCTCCTATGTTGCCCCTCGCGCAGCCCCGGACCAGGCATTTATCTTGGATCAGTCAATTCTCAATGAAGGTTACGCTCAAACTTGGCTGGACCAACCGCTGCCCCCATACACCACCGATGACTACACATTGCTACCATTCAAGGCCGAAAGTAGAGATATACCGGTGTCATCCACTAATTGGACAGGATCTACGACCAAGTACTGGACAGAACTTGAATGTTGGCCCGCAGAAGCCAGCAAGAATGGGCCACCATCGAAGGAAACGTATGACTTCCTCAATGGACGTGAGTGCAACGCCAGCGAGATCGATGTATACGGCAATCACGACAACAGCCAGCCCTACAAGATGCTCTACCTTGGGTATTACAGCAGTCCCTGGTCCGACTATTGGCTAGGCATGACGTGCTCGAAGGAATCTGCGGGCGGCCAGTTCTTGGCCACTTGGGGCCATTCACTCAACTTTCCCGACTACAAGATCAACCTCACATCTCTCTTTTGCGAAACCAACTACTACAAACAGGCTGTCAACGCCACAGTCAGTTCGGTCGATTATGTCCCACTGGAGGATTCGGTTGTGCCGCTGGGTCCTCGGGAACGAATTGAAGAGACGGAGTTTAACATTACGGCCTTCGAGCGTTTGATCAGCTCTGGTCTTTCTGTCAGCGATGTTACTCCTGCGCTCCAGGAAAAAGTCGTGAGAGACTATCCTTTTGAGCATCTATTGGAGCAGCATCAACAGGTGGCGGATCTCGGTGTCATGTGGCCCATGACGCCAATGACTGGCTTTGCCATAGGATCCCACAAGAACGTTACCAGCCTGGAATTCTTCAGGGACGAGGCCGTCTTGGGCGAAGCTTTCAACTCGACGCATAAGATGCTTTTCAATCTTGCACTGCGTCGTGTTCTTGATAACGTTACAGTAGCAGGACTGTCCGAAGGCAACGTGGACTTTATCTTACACGGTATCATCGTGAGCCGCCTCTTTTCCGCAATCGTCGAAAGTTTCCTAGGTCTGGTCGGGTTTTTCACGATTCTCCTTTGGTGGCATGGACACAGGGCAACCAGCAGGTTGACCATGGATCCTGCGTCCCTGGGATCTCTCATCAGTCTATGCAAAAACAGCCCGATGCTGCTCGAAAGGTTTGCAGGGAAAGGTGCTCTATCCGAAGAAGCTCTGAAGCAAGTATTTACGGACCAAAGATTCAAGCTTTTCTGTGGGTGTCAGAGTCAATCACGAGAGATGGTCATCAAAGTGGTCGACGTACGAGACGAATCCAACGAAGAGCAGCGCATCAGTTTGTCCCAGCCAGATCCACTCTTCCCCGTTGGACACTATTCGCCCGTCAAGCCTTGGGCCCTGCGTAGAGAAGTTGGAGTTACTGTCATTGTGGTGATGATGGGAGGTGTTGCTGCGCTGATCTATCTGAAGCTGCTGGAGCAGCAGAACAAAGGTAGCCAGATTCAGATCGCAATAAGGAGGAAAACTCACAATTCACAGGTATCATCCGACCGAACGCGAGCTTTGAAGTTCTCCAACTTCTCGAGAATTACGTCCCGACTATCATTGCAACATTATTGGAGCCATTCTGGGTTCTCGTCAATAGACTTCTGTGTCTCCTGCAACCATTCCGGGATCTCTGGTCCGGTAAACGACCAGCCAAAGGATCGATCAGCGCCCGATACACCTCGCTTCCGCCACAATTCGTCTTTTGGCGGGCCTCTCGATCTGGCCACTTCATCCTCACAGCCATGTGCGGTCTCGCGCTCCTTTCTAACCTGCTAGCTGTCGGACTTGGTGGTCTGTTCAACGAAGAACCGATCGCGATCGAGCATCCTCATGAATTCCAACAGTCGATCATGCCCAGGCTCAATAACGAATCGGTTTACAACTTTAGCAATCCCATCGCACCGTACGAGATACCGTTTCTGATTACTATGAATAACGTAACCCAGAACACTCCCTTGACCCGTTGGGTTAGCCATGAGTATTTCTTTCAGCCATTCAAAGTCATTCCGAATGACACTGCGCCGGCGAATACCTACTCCGCGCGAACCACGGGTTTCGGAGTCAACCCATCCTGCTCCGACATGGGTACATTCAAGACGCGAGGGAATGCACCAGAAGTCAACTACACGATAACGAGGAATGGGGAGGTTGTACAGGGATGTCCGAGCAACTTCACGACGAAAGTTCTTGACTTGAACACGACGATATATAAGGACCTTACTGGACAGGCATCGGCAGAGTACGTTTCAATTATGAACAAGGACATCACTGATCTTACGATCTGCCAAGTCCCGGTCATGTTCGGCTGGTCAAGGAGTGCCCAGGCCGCAAATAAGACTGGGGAGATGGAAACTTGGGCCGTCGTTTGTGATCCGGTGTTTACAACGGCCATGTTTGACGTGACGGTGGATTCAGATGGATACGTCATCAGCTCGTCCCAAGTCTCCGAATCGTCGCCGACACTCGACTACCCGCTCTCGACGAACCACACCGATATGATGATTACCATCATCAACAGCTTGTTCACAACCAACAAGAACAAGTGGCATAACGATACCTTTGCGCGAGACTGGATCAACTACCTCCTCAAAATTCAGCCAGGCCACGCCGACCTGCTCGACCCGAAGTCCACGCCGGACATCCCCTCCCTGATCCCCGACCTCGAAGCCTTGTATCGCCAGATCTACGTCCTCGCTCTCGGAAATACCCAGCAGAACCTCTGGGAAATGTACCCTGAGCCGGTAACAATTACTGGCATCCGACACGTCACCGAGACGCGCATATTCATGAATACCACCGCTCTCGCCATCAGTCTGGCAGTATTGGGTATCAACATCGCTGTCGCTATCGCTCTCTATGGCCTCGCTATAAAGCATTTCCTACCACGAATGCCGACGACCATCGGGTCGATCCTAGCTTACCTCGCGCCCAGTAGGGCTGTGCGTGAGTACGACGGCCCCGGGAGCCTTCAGAGTGCGACTTTCAGCTTCGGTCGGTATGTCGCGGAGGATGGACGCGCACACGTGGGCATTGAGCTCGACCCGTTCGTTGTGCCTGTGAAACTATCAGCGCTGCGGAAGGGCGACACAGAACCAAGGAATGGGCTGCTGAGACGGGTTCTGGGCCGACGGAAAGTGGAACGGGGAGATGAGACGTGGTTATGATTTATGAGCATATGAGCTGAGCCAGGTATCGGACGACAAAAATCAAGGGCCATTTCTGTTATTTGTGGTTCAAACTGGGGAGAATTTCGCCGAGGTGATTTCACGCCCCCATCGTGCATATCGCGAGACCGAAATCGACATCGCCAACGACTGAAAAACGCCTTGCGGGGATACAGTCTTCTTTTTACCTAAGACATGAGTCAAGTGTTTGCAGGCAGAACGGCTTCCAAACAAAACAGTAACAAATTACAGTTTCCTACTTTACTTGCAACCCGATAATGTTTCTCTATGCGTGCCAAAATGCGTTTCCGCTGTACAGCGCAGATCGCGTCCATGCGCACTTTCTCGTCTGATATATCCTGTGTCAGCCTTTCAGCTCGACAGGGAAGTCTTTCATTCAACTTCACACCCTCGTACCGGTGTTGGTGTTGTGTTTAGTCTGTCGCGTTCGACGTTCGCTGCGTATAAGGTTTAGGTTATGTCACGTTCCCTGTCTACTCCAAACCCCACGAGGTCCTTGACTCCTTCTCATGGGTATCCTCGCCCAAACTGTCAGAAGGAGAACATCAGATCGTCAAGCTCCGGGCTGTCAGTGGTCGACGATGTGCGCTTTGACGTGAAGTAGAGCTATGTGCTATGTTTTGGTGTGTGTGGGTTGATGATTGAGACCACCCACCATTTGCAACTATGAGAGCATTCACATGAAGAGGCGAGATGGAAGACGAGTATGAGCAAGTATGATGCTATTGATGATATCACGCTATTTTTCCATGATGGCTAATGCAGACATCTAGCCTTTTGTAGTCATGCCAAAGAAAAGAAAAGGAAATGTGTACAAGGTATATACAGAAAGTTGTAAATGTCCAGAAGAAAAGACAAACGCCGCAAATCTTTGTGCTGCCGTAACCTGTATGATCATGAAGATAGGTATCCAATGTGCCCCAAGGTATCATATATCCCGTAAATGCTAGACCGTTCATAAAGGAGTGTTCGCCATCGACCAGCTTAGGCGTGAGAACGGAAGCGGAGGGCACGCTTGCGACCGTTTCGGGTCACAACCATGTTGATAGAAGAGCCCATGCCGGCAGTGCAGGAGGTGCCGGAGGCGAGCTGCTGGACAGCAGACCAGGCACCGCTGGCGCAGCGCTGGTAAGAAGTGCCGCCAATGCAGTTCCAGGCTCCCTCGTCAGTGCAAGCAGCACCGACAGTCTGCGCGCCAGCACCGGTCTCAGTACCGTTGCCAGAGCCAGAGCCAGAGCCGGTGCCAGAAGAAGGAGCGGCGCTGGGCGCAGCGGTGGCAGCGGGAGCCTTGGAAACAGAGGCGGTGGCAGAGGCAGTAGGGGTAGAGCCGGAGCCGTTGGGGACGGTGATGAAGACGCCGCCGGGAATGGAAGCCGAGGGCTTGGAAGCGGCAGGCTTGGAAGAAGCAGCGGGCTGAGAGACGGCGGGAGCAGAGGTAGGAGCAGTGGTGGGCTGAGCACCACCTCCGTTGCCGGCTCCAGCAGTGCTAGTGGGAGCGGGAGAGCCAGTGCTGCCACCGCCAGAGCCACCGCCGGAGGACTCCTGGCAAGTGCCAGAGGGGGCCGAGAGGACAGAAGCTTCACCGAACTTGTCGACGGAGGTGCCGGGGTTGGGGAACTGGACGTCCTTGCTGTCAACAGTGGTGCAGCCGTTGCCAATGTTCGCAACGAACATGTCGGGAAGAGCCTGGTAAGCGCTCTGAGAGCCGGCAGAACCAGTGATGGTGACAGGGCCGCAGTTCATGTACATCTCGCGGTTGCCGATCTTGTTGAACCAAGTCCAGGCGATGGTACCGTTTCCAGCAGGCATGTCGTCGGGGATGGTGAAGTCGTAAGTGTCCTGGTTCTGCTGGTTGGCGTTGTCACCAAGGTTGCCAGCAGCGTTCTTGGCAGGGCAGCCTCCCTCAATAGACTTGATAACCTTCCAGACGGAGTTCTTGTCGGGCTTAGCGTCATAGGTAATGGAGACTTGGCAAGAACCACCACCGTGAACGGCAGAGCCAATGAAGGCAAGCTTGCCGCCGGCACCCTGAGCGTAGACGTTGGAGGCACCCTCGGCATCGTAAACGGTAGAGCGTTGCTTGCAAGGGAAGTTGCTGCCGTCAGCCAACAACGGGCTGTTGTCGAGGTCGGCGGCTCCGTAAGGCACGGGAGAGCTCATCTTCATGTGGGCGCTGGCAAGGGTGGCCAGGCCGAAAGCGACGATAGCTTGAGCGTACATGGCGAGTGTTGTTGTTGAGTGATGAGAATCTAAACGTTCCAGACGGTAGGGTCTCAGTGTGGGTTGTCGTTGTGACTGTAAGTTGTTTGGTGGTCGATCAAAGTCGTTGGTTCTCTTGACACTTTATAAGACAAGTTAGCTTAGACTCGAACTCGACTCATCGATCCAGCATGTTCTCGATGACAGCGCATTTGTTCCTCAGCAGGCCCGACTCGAAGTGACTGGTCACAACCGTAACAAGCTCAGTGTGACGATGCTCCCGAACAATGACATTGTGAGTCGCACAGTGACGGGCCGCTTTGTCGAACAAAGGCAGAGAAGCAAGCCAAGTGGCCCAGGTCCCGTGCCGTCCCTTTGATGCTGTGATGCTGCAGAATTCCGTATACTTACAGTGTCTTCTCGCTTTGTCTGCTGGGAGCTTGGACGTTGCGGAGTGTTTGAAAAGTTTGGAGTGAAAGTTGAGAATCGGAAAGGTCGATGGGTCTCGAAGTTTCGTATCGTTGTCTTTGGGTTCCGTGAAGGATGGTAATGCACCAGGCGAGTTGGGTTGGTTGATAGAAAGTTGAAAAGTAAGGACTAGCCTTGTTGAATGATAGAAGAGAGAAGGTAAGATGTCGAAACGACAAGCCTTTCCAAAGCCCACAGAAGGAATGCGAGAAGATGTGTTTGTCCAAGAGGATGAGGAACCAAAAAAAAGAGTGTTTCGAGGTAGGACGAGGCCCGGGTCTTATAATACAAGACGGGAAAGCTGAAAAGATACGATGGGGATGTAGAAAGTAGTGAGTGAGCAGGCCCACGGGCAGAGTATGCCGAGCTTAGAGAAGGACTAGAGATGAAAGTGGAAACGAGAGGCAAAAAGCAACTTAGCACGGCTGCAAAGAACGGCGGTTATCCCAGAACGATTGGAGAAGGATAGACTGAAGGTCGGACCGGAGGATGGAGAGCTGGACTAGATCGGTCCACTTGGGACGGGAGAGACATGGCGTTCTTTTAGACAGGCGTTGAGCAGGTCGACCAGTCAAGCCCAGTCGTGGAGCGCAGTCCAAGGGGATTCGAGGCATGGTGGATCGCCCGAGGGGGACAGGGGCCAGGCGTTGAAGAAGGAGAGGCATGGGCTTGAGGCTGTGATAGGCGGGAGAGGAGCCCCTCGGCCTGTTTCGACATGGCACAAAAGACCGGACTAAACATTCTTGTGAGCAGGCAGGGGTGGGTAAGGATGATCGGGGCATCTGGCAGTTGTGTGCGTGTGTGGTTGTGGGTGTTCGAGGATGAGGTACATACGGCAGGCAATACACTGCGTAGTAAGAACAGGCTCCACGGCACGTAAGGTACGGCTTAAGGTGTAAGGTAAAGGCTGCTAGGACCATGCCATGTTCCTGGATGGGACTTTGGAGGGACGGGGACCTTGCAGCAAGGCGCATCGTGCGTGTTTTTCTCGCGGTGGATGCCCCTGACTAGGCATGTTAGGCTCGTTTAAGGAGGAGCCAAGGACAGCCAAAGGCGGGGGAGAGGGAGGGAGCATCTGTGGACCGACGATGAAGTGATTTTGATGGTATAGGGAGGGATTGGAGAGGAGTTTTTCGAGCTGTCGTTGACGGGGCGGATGAATGGCTGGGAGGATGTGGGAAGAGAGACAAGTGACACTGAGAAGAAGCACTAAGGACTAGTCGCTACCAGGGAGGAGACGAGGTCCGGGACAAGACGACAGGGGGGCAGGGAACCAGGGAGGAGGAAGCAGCCACCAAGGGTGCGGTGTGGGAGCCTGGGTGCGAAGAAAGGTACGTACTCCTACCACTCCCGCTCGAGGACTGGCTGCCATTCGCTGCTCGGGCCACGCTAACGGAGGCACCAAAAAAGCACGTTCCTTGCCCCGCTAACGCTACACAGTACGTATCTCGAAGCTGTATCCGTAGGGAACACTAGCCACGCACTTGCAGCCGGTACGTACCTCGTCGTGCAGCGTCAGATCAGGAAAGGGGCACGGGAAGATGGAGGATGTGTGCAACCATGTGTTTCCTTCCAGAGCACTGCTACACTCTGCCTTTGGCCCTGACTAGAGGGAATGGCGGCAGGAAGCGCGTGAGCTGCAGCTTTCAAGACAGGAGAAGCACCAAAATGGCGGAGGCTACTGCAAGGCACCATCTGCGAAGTGAGCACAGCATGCAGCAGTGAGTCGCAACACCTGAGATAGAAACAAACGGTCAGCCATTGCATCCATCCATCTACCATCCATCTACCATGCACCAGTTCATACGTCCAAATAGCCGCCAAGAGTGAGATCAGCAGCGACAGCGATGCCCCCCGAATCGTTCTGGTTGCCTGCTAAATCCAGACAAGGCTCAGTCATTTCATCCTTACTTTTACCTACCTACCACAAAGTACTGCATAGTATTTCCCCATGTTGGTGTGCGCAATACGCATACCACCCTATCTGACCGTCCGAGTCTAGAATAGAAGAGGCGATATACAAGTGCACCGGCACCCACGGATATTACGCGAATTTGCCTCGCCTAGCTGAATGGAGACTTACTTTTTTTTCTGGCAGACAGAAGACAGATGTGATGCTGACTGACAGATCAAGATCACCCGTACGTATGCACTGACTGGATCCAAAGTCAGAACACGCCATGCGAGGTCAGTAGAGCGCGAAAGGCGAAAGCCTCATCGATATTTGCGGCCCAGCCCATTCCAGACCAAGTCCTATTTTGGCACAGGCGGCCTCCAATCAGGGCAGATCGAACCTTGGATTTGGAGACTGGAGGTGGCCAGTTATCGCGGCCCTCGCCCAAGGCCGCGGTGGCGGCCACTCAGATCCCTCTCATACCCTCGCAAAAGATACGTCACGCTGCGGCGCAACATCGCCTCACCACATTGGCCCAAAAATGTCTTTTCGGACGACTCTCCTCGTGAGTCCTGCTGTCTCTGGCTCTCATCCTCCGTGAGACCCCCGGCCGACCGCTGAAGGCAGGGGCTAGTCGTAGTCATTCCTTACGTAGACTAACATGCAAAGGGGGCAAGGGGGCGGAATAAGACCGGGAACAACTGGGGCACTGGACTGTGATGGTGTCGCCGCCGCTGTCGCGCTGTGAGCCTCTCCCGTCCACCCAGCCCAATGAGCATGGGGGGATGAGTTGAAGAGAGAAGAAAATGGTCAGGGATCGGACTGGTGGGTGGAAAGAGGGTCGATGATGTGCAGGGGTACTTTTTTCGACAGTCCCAAAGTTCCACGGCTTTCGGCAAGGCCAGTATCCTAAGAGCAGGGGTCGGAGAGAGCGTAAGAAAGGGGCAGTCAGTTCGCGATGTGTGGTTCGTCCATTTGATCGGGCTTCCAGGCTCCTTGGAATTCCTTTTCCCACAGGCCGGGCGGCACTTGCGACTACCAGGCGGTCCAAGACAATTTTTTTTTCTGGGCCATCACATCAGTCCACCGTTTGATCCATTGTGATGTCTTGACTAAGAAGGGCGAATAAGAAACAAAAAATGGACGGAAAGGCAGACAATGCAGCCGAAAGCGAGACATGCAACGGGCATGTCGAGCCGGTGAGACTGGATCGGTAAACGCTGGCACGGGCACCCACCTTGCCAGCTCAGCTCACCGACGTACACCGAGCGAAGGACGGCATAAGGTACGAGAGACATCAGAGACATGCCAGAACAACAAGAACGCAGTGTACCACTAAAAACCAACCCCTCTTTCTCCATTGTGCGCATTGTCTGCTGTCACTTGACAAGGCCAAGCCAAGCCAAATCAAAAATGCAAAGACACGTTGATCGACAAGATTCCCCCGAGTCAGTGATGGGTGATCCCCGTTGAAAATAGAAGTAGAGAATTAAGTGGTATCCGTACGGGCACTCAATTTACAGGATCCTCAGTCAGTGCCCATCGGATGGCCAACTCTACTCGCCATCGACCTCGGTATACCCGCCCTGGTCCAGTATGCCATCAAGCTTGTGGGTTGTCGTTTGTATGTGCGGCATGCAGAGTAGATGGAAAGTGGGAGGAAGCATCGCTGCGGCCAGCCAGCCCGCCGTTTATTGCGGCTGTTCTTGATGCTGCCCTTGCAGTGCCTCGTGGCTTCTGCCCAGGTACCTCCCCCCAAAAAAAAAACATCTTAACACGTCATAAGTCACTTGCCGGGGGAACCGTGGTGGCAGTGTACTTGCCTGTCCACTGCCGGGCTGATAGTGGATCCGCTCAGTCGTGCATCCCGGAGTTCGGTCCAGCATCGGTACTTGTGCGGCACGGTGACCGGTGGACGGTTGATTTCAAACGATCAACGGTCCCTCCACCGACGACATGAAGAGAAGCAACGGCGTGCGGATTGCGACAGCCACTCGTTTGCAGGTGCGAAAGCAATGTTTGCCTATCACTCTTTGCTTCTCTCCCAGTGCCGAGACCCTCACATGCTGATGGACAGGCACCGGGGCCAGCGTCCCCTGACACTGCAACCTGACTCCCCCTGTCTGGGCCATCTGGTTCCCCGCTGAATCGAAGGGGCCACCCTTTAAGCGGGGAATTCGGTTGAGCAGACCAGATGTTCAGCTGCATGCGCAGGGGGTATTAACGACGGGGATTTTGTCTTCGCTTGCCAGGGCCTTGCCTGGCCCCCAGCGCACACTTTTGGGAGCCCTCTCGCTGGCTGCCTGCCCTGATTCCATCCCCGGCTGCCCACAACGAGCGGATTTTGTGCTGTCGTCAATCGTCGTCGAAGCCCTACAATGACTGGTGCTCATGCTACGTTGTAGCGCATCAAGGGTCTCGTCGAGGGGGGATATGGAACTGCTGGAGGAGCTGGAAGAGACCCCCCTGCCTAGAAGCGAGGAATCTGAAACAGAGGCAGTTTCACGCCCCCCAAGTTCGCCTCTTCCCCTTTCGGACATTGAGCTCTCTGTCTGCGAACCACTGACAGCGAATCAACTCACTATTAGTCGTCAACTATTAATGTGAACATGACAGGATCATGTCGTTCCTGCTCCAAGAGGCTAAGCTTTTCCTCCCGTTTGTTGTTTCTTCAGGCCACAACTCCCTACCTAATACCATCCATCAGTCACCACATCACATCGCGGGAACGCGGGAAGCGGAGGCATGCCACTGCATTCCGCGGCCATGGCGACTCAGTCCTAACCCGCTGGGACCAGTCATTGTCCTTTGTCCACCGCGCAGTCGTCACAACGGCACCCCTCATCTGCCAAAGCGTTTGGGGTAAGCGTTGGAAACGTGTCCGTCGTCCAGCTGAGGACATCCAGCTGTCACAGATGTCAACGCTATTTCTCCCGGGTTACCTTGCCGTTGGCCAGTCATCAGTCAGTCGAATGACAGCGACGGGACGACGACAAATGCGCCAAAGCTCTCGAAAAGCTCAGGCTTCCGCTTGACTAAGGTGAATTCAAATCACCTTAGGTTCTCAGCTGCCTGCTTCTGCTTCTGCTTCTACTTCTGCGACCAGCGACGCAGCCTGGTCATCCGGCTGTCACTCTGGCACGTTCATCAATCACCCCCGTGAGCCCAGAGCCCAGCAAATGTCACGATAACCCCTGGTCCGGCGGCCCTTCTCCCGGCCTTTGCCCGACCGCAATGGGAGGCCACTGCCGGCTGTTGTCCACTGTCACGTTGCTGATCGCCACCCCGTTCCCACTGTCCAATGCCCGGATGGAGGTGGCCCGGACTCCACGGCCGAGTGGATTCGCAGGGCTTCACGAGAGCCGCCCAGGGAGGAAAAAGAGACGAGAAGGACGTGATGCCCATGGGCCACGGGGAGCTGCGGCGCGGCGTCCTACGTACTCCCTGCCCATCTTCATCTGCTCCTAGCCCCCGTCCGGGTTAATCGTCCGAAGATGATCAAGAAATCCCTCTTCTGCAGCTTGCTCTGGCCCGTCCGGGTCCGTGTTGCTGCCTCCCCTGAAGGACGCAGACGCAAACGACGCAGCTGTTTGGAGCATTGAGCATTTTGAGCCCAGCTCGACAAGCGCGGTTTTGGTAGACGATCCGAGGGGGCGCAGAGAGACATTTCCTTCACCTTCAGACGATCTGGTAGAACCGAGTCTCGTACCCGCGACACTGATCGACCGCCAGAGAACACAGCCCGACGCCGTACCAGCTACGAAACGGCGCCGTCCCGCCCGCATGAATTCCCCGACATGAGCTTCTACCCTTGGCCCGCGCCCCTGGCTGATTTCCAGCTTCCCTCCTTGAGGCAGTCCAGCCGCTCTTCTAAAGTCATGGAAGCCACACCTATGATCTCGGGGGGGTCCTGGCGACAACCTTCTTCAGCGGCACAGCATGAAAGATCGCCTCTGAGCCACAAGGACGTCCGATTATTCCCAGCTTACGCCACCGCATTTGCCCCTGTCAGGTGCCACTTCCTGAACACTGCCTGTGGCTAGTTGTCGCTTTTTTTTGCCTGCCGGAGCCACAGAAGCTCGTATGAATACGGGAGACCCAGTGGCTCGTGAGTCGCACCTCGTGCTCCCCGAGATGGGCGCCTTCCGCGGTTGTCCCGCGGTTGTCCCGCGGTTTTCCCCTCCTCTGTTTTACAGAAACACCGATAGACCACATCGGATGCCTCTGGGCTGGTATCCCTGCCCAGCTGGAATCCCGTTGAAGAGCCTGACGCAGCCGGCATTCCTTGGGTACAAGTGGCTAGAATGTGGGCCGGCATTGTTCACGAAGGGGCACTTTACACGCCCGCCCTCTCGACGCGCCGGCGTTTCCTGTGATGCTAGCGACTCCTGGCGTTGCTCGTGGTTCGCTCCTTCGCCATAGCATGATTTTCAGCCGCTCACCTCAACGAGACTCACACTTGGGATGACCGCCCAACAAACTTGCATAAGCTTGAACCACTTACACACAGCAGTCTGCCTTGGCTAGCGGGTGTTAGCCCGCGGTAGGTTCTCTTGACGTCTTACTCACTGCCGTTGCCATGGATTCCCCCCCCACGAATCCGCGATTCTCATTCCCCTCCCCACGGTCGCGTTGCCGCCCGCATTCGGTCAGGAGACGACGACTCCAATCGCAGGGACGACGACTTTGCATCGCATCACATCACAGGGGCTACGCAAGTCGGAACCCCGCCCGACAAGGCTGGCGGTAGTCATCGGGCATGAAGTGTAAACATCGTCGTCTATTTGTGCTGAACTTCGCGTCTCATGTTTCATCTATCTGTAGCGTCATGATTACCCATCCTTCGTGGGGTGAGCCGGCGGCAGCCATTCTCCAATGAATGGGGTGAGGGAGGTGCTGACTTGTCGTTCGCCTCACACCGCCCTATGGCCCAGTCGCGGACCTGCAGCTGACGCCCAAGTCCCGGAGGAGCCCATCAGATAATCCCATTTGCCGCCAGACAAAAGCGGTCGTGCAGCAAAAGCTCATCTTGTCTAATCAACATGTCGAAGCTGCACTCTGCTTGACCGCATTCTCCTTCTCATCGTAGCCCTTGACATTCTCTGCCTAAACCTTCTCGAACTCAGCGTAGTCGTCGCAGCCTGTTCATTTTGTCAAAAGCGTTAGTGACGGCGTCTCCAAGATGCGTAAGATTGGCCAGTCCGTTTTCTCCTCTCCAGTCTCCAGGGTTTCATCAAGAAGAAGCAATGCCAACGGCAAAAGAAAGTGGGCTCAGGCATAGTCGTTACCTTCAAAGACGTAGCTCTCGCGGGTCCAGACGTGCATCTTGTCCTTGCGGAACTCCTCAAAAGACCACTCGCGCCGGTCGAGGTTCTCCGGGCGCTTGTAGATGTAGGCCGTGGTCTGCTTGTCCTCCTCCTTGCCGTCCGCACCGCGGACCTTGACGGTGACGACCTTCTTCTCGTACTCGCCGCCCTCGAAGAAGTCGAGCTTCATGACGTTGACGTCGGTGAGGCCCGTCGCGAAGATGCCCAGGACAGAGCCGCCCTTCTCGGGGATCATGCCCGGGTAGTCGGCCTTGTTGACACGGTGGCGGGTGTAGTCGTGCAGGACAGCGGGGGTGAAGGTGTAGAGGTCCTTGATGGCTTGGGCAGGCTTGCCATCGCCTTGGGTCACGGTGAAGAAGACCTTGGGCTCCATCTGCTTGAGAGTTAGTGAAGTCCAACAGTGATGTTCGGGGCTACTGAGTCATCGATACTGACCAAGGTGCCTGTTGAGAAGCGTTAGCATGTAAACCAGCAGGTAGATGAGCCAGACTTACCGTAGAAGAATGCAGTGTGCTCTCCGCTCATTGTGACGTTCGATATCAAGTTGGTGACTGAAGTGAAGTTGATGTGTGTAGGTTGGTTGATGATCCTGAGTCGGAGTCGTTGTGGTGAGCAAGAGATGTTTCCGAAGAAGGTGCGCTGTGGGAGGGCATATATATGCGTCTTGTGAGATTCAGTGTTATTGTAAGTCCACAGAGATGCTTCTGGAACGGATGGAGCTTGCCTTACCCGTCTTCTGATGTTTATTGCGATATTTGTTGAAGCGATACAAGAGACAAATAAGCCAAGCAGATGGCAGAAAGTTACGCAAGCATTTACCTTTGTCTATCTCACAAGAAATAGCCAGTGAAACGAGAAAACATAACATACATACAGCAAACTTTGCAATCGAACAAACGTCAAAGACCCCGGAACTGAAGGAAGGTGGCCGGAGAGTGAAGTGCGATCCCGGCCCACCTCCGGATTTCCGGCCTCCACCTGGAGAAGCCGCCGGGCAGACGCGATAAGAGCTTGATGGACGCGATAAGAGCGTCCCCAGCTTGCCCCTGCTGCAATCGCGGGCCGGCTGCACTCCGGGTGGATACCTTCTGCCGGATCAATATTCTTGCAGCGCCTAGCGCCAAATGATTTGGCGGCTGCTGCCCCCAGCTTCGCGACGGCTTTGGGAAATTTCGAAGTTCGGTCGAGCCTGGAGCGTAAAATCCAATTAGACAAGCCGCGCGACCTGTTGGTGACTGGGAACCATTTTGTCCGCCTCCCAACCACAAGGCGCACCCAAAAGGCAGCTGCAGGCAACGTCGAACTCTGAGTAATTCACTGTCTTCTTCTTCCACAGCGACTTTTGATTTTTACTTCCTCCTTCATCTACAAACCCAACTAGATACCCCTCCAGCCCCGGCGCGCGCATCTTCATCTACCTCAGCCTCGCCGCGACACGACCGATCCACGACATCTTTTTTTCCCACGCATGGGAACGAATCACGCGTCCCGAAGGGGCCATTGACGCCGCCATGTCTGGCACCACCATTGATGATATTGTCAAGCGACTCAGCACTCCCGAGACAGGTACGCTCCGCCGCGACCTTTGCACCCTCCCTCTCCCCCACAATGCGATCTCACGATGCACGACCCCGCTGCAAGGCGCATCGCTTCTGATGGTGAAATGTCTGACATGTGACGTCGACAGATGCAAGAGTCAAGGTAGAAGCGGCGACTACCTTACGCGACAGTATCGACCACTACATTAACGGTCCCATCTACGCACCATTCCTGAAGAAGCTCGTCCCTATCTTCATCAATACCCTCAGAGGACCATGCATCTTCCAGAGCAGCTCCCCGGAGCAGGTAAGCTGCTGTGTTGCACAAGGTGGTACGTACCCTGCTGACCTTGATGGAAGAAACTCCGGAACTGCATCCTCGAGATCCTCCACCGACTGCCGACGACGCCGACACCCCCCGAGGCCTTCGAACCTTACGCCGAAGAAGTCGTTGACCTGTTGATGCAATTGGTCCGGACGGACAATGAGGAAAATGCGACATTGTGTGTTAAGATCATATCTGATGTCATGCGCCATCAGCACAAGGTCTTGCAGGGCAAGGTCCAGGCATTTCTCAATCTGATCCAGGAGCTCTTTGAGCAGATGGAGAAGGTCGTCCGCGAGCAGTTGGACAACACCTCTCTCGCCACGGCATCAAGCTCTGGAGCCCCGTCAACTCCAGGAAGCTCTCAAACGAATTTCCAATCTCCTCGACCGGGCTCGCCCGTAGCGTCTGTCACAGATCTTGGTCCGGATCCCCAACAACAGAACCGGATGCTGCTGAAGGGCATGCAATCTTTCAAGGTCCTGTCAGAATGCCCAATCATAGTGGTTTCTGTCTTCCAAGTATACCGCACGACCGTCGCTACGAACGTTAAGGCCTTCGTTCCGCTCATCAAGGGGTTCTTGTGCCTTCAGGCAAGCGCTCAGAAGCAAGCTCATGCCGACGCCAAGGCCAGGGGTCAGATCTTCACAGGAGTCAGTCCTCTCATTAAGAACAGAGCCGCCTTTGGAGAATTCATCACCGCCCAAGTTAAGACTATGAGCTTTTTGGCCTACCTCTTGCGCCAGTACTCGCAGCAGCTCACCGACTTCCTCCCGACCCTCCCCGAGATTGTGGTACGGCTTCTCCAGGATTGCCCTCGTGAGAAATCAGGTGCGCGCAAGGAGTTGCTTGTTGCTATCAGGCATATCATCAACTTCAACTTTAGAAAAATCTTTCTCCCTAAGATTGATGAACTCCTCGACGAGAAGACTCTCATTGGCGATGGCCTGACAGTGTACGAGACGATGCGGCCACTGGCCTACAGCATGCTTGCGGACCTGATCCATCATGTCCGCGACAGCCTCACACCGGAACAAATTCGTAAAACGGTCGAGGTATACACCAAAAACCTGCAAGACAACTTCCCGGGAACAAGCTTTCAGACTATGAGCGCCAAGCTTCTACTCAACATGGCGGAGTGCATCGCTAAGATGCCCAACAAGGTCGACGCACGGCATTACCTCATCATGATCCTGAACGCCATCGGTGACAAGTTTGTGGCCATGAATCGACAATACCCTAATGCAGTGAAGCTCTCGAAACTCTACGCCAAGCAGGCCGCTGACGGAACCCAGGACAGCTACCTCGCGGAAAAGGACCACCCTCCGGATTGGGATGAGACAGATATCTTCACTACTATGCCTATCAAGACTTCAAACCCTAGGGATCGAGGGGCAGATCCTGTTGTTGACAACAAGTTCCTCTTCAAGAACCTGATGAACGGTTTGAAGAACACCTTCTACCAGTTGAGGACCTGCAACGTCAACACCAACGTTGACCTGACGAACGCTCCAGCACACTGGCAGGACGTCGCCTACGGTTTCACTGCCGAAGAAGTCAATGTAATTGTGAAGCTGTTCAGGGAGGGAGCATATGTCTTCCGCTACTACGAAATTGAGAAGCCCGCCACCGAGTCTCAGTACATGTCACCAGTCGAGTACATGGCCAACTTTTACATGGTTTCTAGCAGCAAGGAAGAAAAGGAACTTCTTGAGACCTTTGCAACCGTCTTCCACTGCATAGACCCCGCCACGTTCCACGAAGTCTTCCAGCAAGAGATTCCTCACCTGTACGACATGATCTTCGAACACACCGGTCTGCTCCACATCCCCCAGTTCTTCCTCGCCAGCGAAGCTACTTCACCTAGCTTTTGCGGTATGCTGCTGCGCTTCCTGATGGAACGGATCGACCAAGTCGGTTCAGCGGACGTGAAGAAGTCGTCGATTCTTTTGAGGCTGTTCAAGCTGGCTTTCATGGCCGTCACGTTGTTTGCCAACCAGAACGAGCAAGTACTTCTTCCTCACGTTGTGGATATTGTCACCAAGTCCATCGAGCTTTCGACCAAAGCGGAAGAACCAATGAACTACTTCCTCCTGTTGAGGTCACTGTTCAGAAGCATAGGTGGTGGGAAGTTCGAGCACCTCTACAAGCAGATCCTGCCGCTTCTCGAGATGCTCCTGGACGTCCTCAACAACCTGCTCATGGCAGCAAGAAAGCCTGCCGAACGGGATCTCTACGTTGAACTGTGTTTGACCGTGCCTGCGAGGCTGAGTAACCTGTTGCCACATCTCAGCTTCTTGATGCGACCACTTGTCGTCGCGCTACGAGCTGGAACCGATCTCGTTGGTCAAGGGCTGCGGACACTAGAGCTCTGCGTCGATAACCTCACTGCAGACTATCTCGACCCAATCATGGCGCCAGTCATTGATGAGTTGATGACAGCCCTGTTTGACCATCTTAAGCCGCATCCCTACAGCCATTTCCACGCTCACACGACTATGCGCATCTTGGGCAAACTAGGAGGCCGCAACCGCAAGTTCATGACCGATGCACAACCCCTCTCGTACAAGAATTTCGCCGACGACCCTACCAGCTTTGACATCCGCCTCGTTGGTTCCAAGAAGGACAGAGCGTTCCCTGCTGAAACTGGTGTGGATTTTGCGATTAGGAAGTTGATGGAACAGCCAAAAGGCAAGGGCAGCCAGTCTCGCCAATATGACGCCTACTACAAGAAGCAGTCATTTCATTTCATTAAGTCTCAGCTCAAGATGAGAATCGGCTTCGAGAATCTGCCCGACGATCTGCCAAGACTGGTGCGTCTCCAGGCACAGGACTTGCTTCACAAGAAGATTGACTTCGACTTCGCCGCCTTCGAGACATCTGACCGGGACAGATCGATACCCAAGAAGGACGAGCAGGATGATTTGCTCCGGCGTTTGCTCAAGGCCATCATGTTTGCCGAGTCCTTGCCAGAGTTCAAGGAAGAGGCCAATGCTTTCCTCATGAACATCTGCAGACACTTTACCATCATTGAGGTTGGACGCACTCTAATTGAGATGAAGCGAATCCTGAGTCCATTCAACCCGAAGGCCGGAGAGGGCCCGCTCTTCATTGACACTCGTGTGTTCTCTGACGCCATTGTGGAATCTTTGGCTTCAGACCATCCCGATGTGCGGGAGGCTGCGCAACGCGCGATTCGTGAGGTTTACGACTCCGCCGCCACAATCTTCGGATCCGACCAAAACGTGGCACGGCTAGCATTCTTCAGCCATCTGAGCTCCACCTTCTGCCATGGCTGCTACGAAGAGGAGTGGTTCACCAAGACGGGCGGTTCTCTCGGCATCAACTTCCTTTTGACTGAGCTGGACCTTGGCGACCAATGGATCTTGAGCAAACAAACTGAGTTCATCAGAGCGCTCATGTACGTCATCAAGGATATGCCCCAGGATCTTCCGGAGAAGACGAGGAGATCTGCGCAAGCCACATTGGAGACGCTGCTTCACAGGATTACGAAGAACATCAAGAAGGAAGATGCCCTGCCCCCGCAACCCTCGGCTCAAGGTCAAGCGCCCCAAAGATCTCGTCTCGCCCAGATCTGCATGCAATTCAATACTGAGTTGTCGCACATGAATCGCCACGTTCGTGAGACTGCCAAGCGATCC